CAAAGGTTAGGGGCCTAGGTGACTCACTCCCTTGTTGTGCCCCAAGGCAGGACCAAATGGCCTCCTTATGTTGGGAATTGATCCTGTATAGGCCAGACACAGACACACACACACACACACACACACACACACACACGCAGAGCTGCCTATACTGATGGGCAGGGAGTTGGAGAAAACAGCAGCTGCAGCTGCTTCCCTGCCAGGTGTGAGACTAGAAACAAAATGTATTCCATTTTTCTTGAGGACTAGAGCTCAGCATCTCTATATATAGCTTCACTTAGAGCAAAGAGCAGAACATCCTGGAGGGAGTGCCTATAAATTTTTCAAGCTGGCAGCAACAGCAGAGGGACATCAGGCCAGGGTTTTTGGGTGTTTTGGCTCCGGGCTCACCTCTGCTAATCACGCTATTTGATGGCATGACTTCCTCACTCACTCAGCCCCTATAGGGCTGCACTGCCCAGATGTGAGGAACGGAGCAAGGCAGTGGCACTATCCATCTCACCAGAGCAGGTAACCACTCTTGCCTACCCCACAATCCATCCTCAACCCAGGAGCTAAAATGATCTTTTCAAAACACAAATATGATCCTTCACTCTTCAGTGATTTCCCACAGCTCTGGAGTAGTAAGACCTAGAAGGCATAGCACGATGTGGCTCTTATATCATCCTTACAGTTCACACGCCCGCTCCTCTTCCTATCACTCAAGTCATACTGCCCTTCTCTATTCCTCCAATGAACCCAACTCCTTCTTGTTTTAGAGCCTACTGTTCTTTTTCCAGAAAGCTCTTCTTCCCCCTTTGCCTGGCTAATGACTACTCACCTCTCAGGTCTTCCCGAGAAAGAGTTTTTCTGCCTTCTCAGGCCAGATGAGGTCCCCTGTTTTACACTCTGATTACATGGTATTATTTTCCTTCATTGCACTAGCACCATTCTAATTATCTAACCATGTGTGTGATTATGTGATTACTGTCTGACTCCCACGAGACTATAAACTTCTTGAGGGCAGGCAGCGTACCTGTTTTGCTTACTGCTTTATTCCCAGTGTCAAGAACAGTGCCTGACATAGCATGTGCTCAACAAATTTTCTTGGGAGGAACGAAAAGAAGGAGGGAGAGAAGGAGGGAGGTAAGGAGGAAGGAAGAAAAGGAAGGAGGGAAGCGGGTAGAGACGAATGCAGAAAAGGAGGAATAGAGGTCCCAGTGAGGCTAATTGGGATGATATTTGATTCTCCATCCCTAGCGGGAAAGCTGGAAAGGTTAAATGTAGCTCTTACCTGCGGCCTCAATGCTTAAAGGCAGAAGTTGAACATCAGAATTTTGTCCATGAGGTAATGCTGAGTTCAAACCACAGACGCAGGTCCAAATGGGTCATCAGAGCAAAGGGGGTCTGAGATGAGTATTAGGTATAGAGCAAAATGAAAAAGGGAAAAGAAGAGAAAATAAGAAATAATCGATACGAATTCAGGAAACTGTAGGATAAGGCCACCAGGTAGGCTTCTTTCTTGAACCTAGAAGCTTTTTATGCATGGGCAAAGCAAGTCTTATTAAAGAGACAGAGACCACACACAGTTGCCATATATAGATATATATTGCTCCAATAACTTAATAAATTGGTATTCTTGTATATAAACCATTTTCTTGTGAGTCTGGTTAACTCTGGGTACACTAAGGAGACTGAATTAAGTTAGAGTTTATGTCATTTCAAAGTTTAGGACTGGATCTTGGACCATGGTGCCCTGCCTACATGCCGGAGCTCAGTAAAGCTCCCTTTCCTACATCTCTATGGTGTCCTCTTTTGAAATTCAACATTTTGGAAGGCAGCTATGCTCACCACTATACCATCAATGCTGAAATTCAACATTTTGAACCAAAATTATCAAGCGCTTAACTTACACACTGTCTCATATTATCTCCCTTCTTGATCATCAACTCCTGGGGGACAGGGAAAGTGTATTCTCATCTCCTACTGAGCCTAGTACAATGACTTCAAATAGTAAGTGCTCAAAAATTATTGAATAAATACTGCTATATATTTCATAGGTGTGGGAGTGATTACTCCAATGGATTTGTTAACTTCTTGAAGAAAACCCTTTTAGACCTGAATTTATTCTGCAAATATAAGGAGTTGGAAGAACTAATCTCTAAGACATTTCCAAACTGTAAACTATTGGGACAATGACAAGGTTTTGTCTTATATTTACATTTTTTACAATCTCTCTATCATTTCTAACATATTATTGGGCACATAGTGGGAACTCAATAAATATTTGCAGTGAGCTGACTCCAATATAGATGTATTTAAGTTACGAAACACAGAGATGTGTTTCTGAAGTTTCACATAAACTGCTTATGAGTTGAACGCTACTTGAAATATACAAGAGAAATTTGTTATTAAATGGATTCCTAAGGTGAACATTTTTTACAATACTTGGAATCACTTTATAATAAAATAACTCCTTAATTTAATCCTCACATTTTTACATATCAAGGTTGCTGATAACAAGATAAACCAGATTAGTAGCTTACAGTTATGAGGGAGCCAACTGACTTACTATTGACTAAATCAAGCTATTCTTCATAGAGAGAACTGTACCTCCTTCTAGTTTCCTAGACGATCTTCTTCTCCCTCTCTCTCTCTCATACACACACACATACATTTTCTCTCCCTTGTGTCTTAACTCATATTTTAAATTTTGTAGGTCCATTCTAATTTATAATGCTATGAATAAACTTTTCGTTTCCCAATACTTCTTTCCACATTCGTCCCCCCGTTTAACCACATGCCTCACCATTTTTCAAGACATGTATGCCTTCCATGGTGTCTGGATCATCCATAGCATCTAGACTCTTCAAGGCGTCTGTCTCAGGTGGTGGCTTTTGTATGAGCACGCTGGAAGTTGAAGCTTCCCCAGCTGAGAAGCAATATCTCTAGGTCACCCTCAAGGAGGGATTCAGGGAAGGGACTGCTTCTTATTCTCTTTAATTTTCTCTATGACCCTCATCTGTCCAGTGCCTTTTTTCCATAAATCCAATGAAAAATTAGAGAAGTGATGACTCTTCTCAACAACTCTCTTACCTCAAAAGGTTCCACTCCTTTGACATAAACGGGGGAAAAGCAGAACACATAACCAGATACTTTGAGACTGGGGTGGAAGCGAAGGCCATTTTTCTTTGGGACTCTATTTGTCTTACAGGTTTTGGGGAGTCAATTACAAGGGCCACAAGCACTCCCACAGATGAGCTAGGAAAGGTTGAAATAATTCACAGAGGACAGAGAAATCAACTGTCAGCTCATGGGCTATACATCTTGTTCTCCCTCAACTCCCAAGTCCTCCTTATCTGCCTGGGGTCTACCCCCACAAACCAGGCGAAAAGCTCACCAAAATCTACTGGTACAAGGAAAAGATGTGACTCAGTGGCAAATATTCTATCATAGTGGGGATGGAATCAACAAGGTCAGTTGACCCCTAAAGCCTATATTTACACTAGTAAGTCTCACATCCTGTATTGAGACTTCCTGCAAGAGAACCCAATCTGTCACTGGAGTATGATCAGGAGGCAATGGTACCTGTTCTCTGAGGAGTCCTGACTAACTGGCGAGATTGAATCACACACATGAAAAATTTCAGATGAAATTCCTCTTTACGCATGGCTGTCTCCTAGAAATAGAGACAGAGTTTAATCCAAATGAACAGATCTGTGGAATGATTAAGATGGACAAAACTGACATGAACCAGGTATGCTCAATACTAATAGGCCTTGGGACCTGATGGTATAAGATATCAGCATATAAAGTGATACAAATAATCTAATTTTATACATTTGACAGGGCAAGATCCCCTGAACTCAGTAAGCATCTCCTTTTCCCAGCTGCTGAAAGTATCTAAAAGGCTGAGAGCTTCCAGAGGCTTCCGTTCTTCAGTCTGAGCTCAGACTCTGGCTGTCAGCTGGCTCTAGAGTGCCCACTCAGAAGCATTTCCCATGACTTCTACACAGAATCACACCAAGTTGAAGGTCTTGCTAAACAGTCTGAATGAACAAACATATTATTTCCCATTATTTTCTCTTAAAAAGTACCGCACAGATTACAGGTTAATCAATTCGGTTGTAGGAACAACACCAGGGCCATTTAGTTCTTCAGAGGTCAGACTCCTGGGTCCTTTCCTATTTCTACTCAGAAAAGTAGATCTCTGGTGGACCCCCAATAGCTTTTCTCACACCTGTGCCAGTGTTTCAAACTCCTCCAGAGTTCTGGAAGGTTACATGTTTCCAGAGTCTAACCTAATCCCAAGCCGCTTTTTTTTCCCCCTGAACAGTCAATCAAGGATAATGTGGTGTAAAGAGTACTGGATTACAGGTGAAGAAATTTGTTTCCTAGTCCCAGATCTGCCATGCACTTTTTACAAGTCTGGGAAAAGTCTTGACTTCTCTGAAGCTGTCAGACTAAAATATATCCAATAACCTCTACAAGCACTAAGATCTGTGATTCTCAATAAGACACGATATAGCCTGAGCTCGATTTAGCTTTCAGGTCTACATCTGTCAAAGTGGCCACAGGTTCCCAAAGATCAAAGGCCACAATGAAAAGCTGCCATGGCAACCAGAACATAAGCAAAAATCGCCGGGCGGAACCAGAAAGGCGGCGGTTGAGGGGGTCGAGGGAACAGAGAAAAGCGAAGGACGAAGGGCACACTAACGGTATTTCAGGAACGAGAAAAAGCCCAAACTGAAAGGGGAAGAGGGAAATTGTGACTACAGCCTTAGACGCTCCCCTGGCTTCTCGGGCCTCGCCACACTGCGCAAGCGTTCCGCGGGTCCTCAACTCTGCTCTTTGACCCCCCCCGCCCCACCCCCCTCCTCCGCGGCCACCGAGCGCTTCTTCCGGTGTTGTGGAGGCGGTTCCGGTTCGCGGCGGTTCCCGGGTTTTGCGTTCCGCGCCCGGCCGGAAACCCCTTCGCATAGTAGCCGGTTCCGGTTCGGTGAGTGGCGGCGGGAAGCTGGGGGAGGGGTGAGGATGGAGGGAGCCCGGGCCGGGAGGCGGTGCGGGCCGGGCCCGGCAGCCTGGGCTGCGCTGGGCGGAAGCGGGGATGCCTGTGGGGACGGCGCTTTTCCCTCTGCCCCGCCCCCTGGGACCACCTCCCCTCCCCCCTGCTGTCGGCCGGCCGCGGTGGGGCCGGCGGCCGTTAGTTCGGCTTCCCGAGGCCGCTCCTTCAGGCCTCCTTCTCCGGGGCGGCGGAGAGGCCGTGTCCCCGCCGCTCCCGCAGGCCCCATCTCCCCTGCTTGCCGGGAAGAGACCGGCTGGGATTTCGGAGCTTTCCCGCCAAAGCAGGCTCTTCTTTCAGGGGCAGGCTGTTTTCCCCGGGAAGCTCGGCTTTCCGTCACACCTGCCTCACCCCCCGCCTTCCTTGAGACCCGAACGCCCTTTCTCAGCTACTTCTGCGTCTCCCGTAAACATTTCTCCAACTCGTTCACTCTGTGGTGTCTCCCCGAGCTGTGATATTGTAGTGCCACCACCAGCAAGAAACGTCCGGACCCTCCTGCCGGGTTATGAAAATCCCCTTACCGGCCACAGTTTGCTTACCTGGCTCATCGCCGCCTGGTAATTCCCCTGACCGTCTCTTTCCTGCTCAACCCTGACGTGATCTCTGTGGGTCTAAGCCCAGTTTCTCCTGAGCTTGGTGATTTCTGTTTATCGGCGCCTCTGCAGTATTTCCACTATCTTGTGGGCAATAACTTGCTCCTTTATCACTTTCAAGTCAGCCTTGTTAAAGTCATTTCTCCACGTTTGGTACACTTACGTTTGGGGTGGTGGTGATTCTTGTAAAATTGGTATAAAGCCTTTTCATAGGCTACCTGCTATTTGATTTAGGGTCATTGTTCTAATCGGATATTCTGGATGGAGTAGATGGCACCATCTCCTAAATCTTTATAATTTGTGTTGAGGACTCGTGTTGAAATACAGATTACACTAAATTTGAAATTACAGTTAAAGTGAAACCTTAAGCATCTTTTTAAGCATGATCCCTTAACTGTCTAATAATTTAGAGATTCCCTTCTTTTTTTCCACTCTAGTCCCATTTTGGAAGCCTCATTCATTTTTACCTGATTTTAATTAATTATCCCTGACTGCAAAGCTGGTCTTCATATCACCCATCTGATGAGTTAAATCTAGAGGGATCAAATGGATTCAAAAACAGGTTCTGCTACTTCAGGCTGAGGTGATGTAACTCTTGACTACTGCTTTGGAAGTCTTGCCTTTTCTTCCCATGGCTCCCACACCTCCTGCCAATTGCACCAGCTTTATTGCTTTGCTGTAAGCATCTCTTTTTGGATCTGGCTTCCCCCAGGAGACAGTGAACTTCTCTACAGCAGGGACCAGTTCTTATTCATCTTTGTATCCCCAGTACGCTGTATATAGTTGATGCATGGTAAATGTTTGTGTATGAAAGAAGTTGAGTACTTAGTATTTAAGATGTTAGAGTGTTCAGGTGTTTAAAGTGTTAGAGTGTAATTCGGAGAGGTTACATGTAAAAATGTGAAAAACAAAAACAAATGCATGATATAGTACAAACTGTATCACAAACAATTGTTTTCGGGCGTTCAGAGGAAGGTGATTCTCATGATCACTTCCAGACCCTTCTCGTATCACAAATTGTTCTAACCACATCTTGGTCCTGGATTAAGCTAACTGTACAATGCCTCTCCTCGATGTATGTTTTCTAGTAACTTCATCATAGCACTAAACATTCTCTTTGATAATCACCTCTTTGCATATAGGTAAACTTATGTTTTACTGTACTTGTTACATTCTGTTACTGTCAGGACTTTGCTGTCTTTTTTTTCCTTTCACATTTCCTATTATCTTGTGTGCAGCTACTAACCTGACTTCCCCTAAATACCTGTAACTGCTTATGTTCGTTCAGTGAGTTAACTGACCCATGTGAACTAGGAAGTGAATTATTAGAATAATTTTCTTAAAAGCAAAAAAATCTTATGCTTGCAAGAATTTTGTGGTGTCAACGGTTCCAGATCCAGCATTTCATGTGGAATCTTAGGGTAAAATAGCCCTTCTCCCAATGTAATTGCAAAGTGGCAAAAAGAAAGTACCGTAAGCATGCTGAAGAAGCTGGATATATTTGTATTAAAATGTAAATGTGGGGCTTTAATTATTAAAGTTATAAATCAGTGTGGATTCCCCAGAGTTAGCTAGGAATTACTTTTATCTTGCCAAAGTGTATGAATCCTTAAATGAGGATATGTTAAAGGATGTGAAGTTTTGTAGTGTTTATTGAAAGCACATTTGCTTGGGAATTAGGATACCTGGATTTTTCTCTTCCTTTTGCCCCATCTGTGTGATTTCAAGCAAGTCACTTAACCCCGCTGGACATAATTTCTAAAATTCTTTGATTTTTACTTGCTTCCCTCTTCACATCTATCTCAGCAGTGCAAAGGAAGGTAACCTGGGCTTGTTCGACTGGGCACCAGGCTTTTAAATTGGCGTTGTTCTTAATACAACAGAAGAAGCTAGTGATGACGATTATGAAATGGCCTGAAAGAGTGAAATAGGAAAAAGCCACTGCTGTTTTATTGGTTGATAGGATTTTTTCGTTAATCTGAGACCCAGGAAATTCTGCTTTATTTATTAAAAAAGAAAGAAGGAGAAAGAATAACCTGGAGAATTTCCATGTAGAAGACTTGTTAAGTTAAGCCTTTGGAAACATTTGAAACCTAAATCTAAGGCTTAAATTCTTTGGGACTCCTCCCTGGCAAGACTGGGTAATCAGATGATTACTCTGCTTGGTCGGTAGCTATGCCAAGAAAAGCTCAAGCAGCCGTCCTTGGTGTGTGCACTTCGTTATTGGGACTGTAAAGAATACCTGTCATCATCCAGTCTCCTTAGCAGATTGAAGCCCTGATATTGCTATGTACTTGATGAAGTGCTCAATCTTTTAAAAATATGGTGGTAAATCAGATTATGAAAATATATAACCATGACTATTACCATCCCTAGTCTCCTCCTCATGGAAATCTGCCAAGAAGCATGTGTGCCAAGGATATGTTTATTAACGTAGTTCCAAGCAACTAGGCTTTTAACTTCTTTTTTCTGGGAAAATTAGATACATCAGAGGAGAAGTAATTTCATATAGGCAAAGAGGCCTTGATTTGTAGCAGTTTGATTAATGATGAGGGAGAAAGTACTTAGTACTAACTGAGAAGTGTTCCTCCATTGTCTGCAGAATATTTGGCCACGGAATAAAATGTATGAAAGAGAAGTCTCAATGGGACCACCACAAGATCTATCACTTGTTTGTAAAATGGTTTAGCATGAAGTAATAGAGCAGTGGATTTGGAAGAATTTCTAGGTTGTAATTTCAGTGCAGTCACTAACTAACTTTATGACTGTATGCAAATTAATCTCCAAAAGGTTGGCTCTTCCAACTTGCTTCTTGCTATAATATTCTATGATTCTGTGGATAGTCTGTAATTTCTGTGTAGTATAGCATGGGTTGCAGAAATGTTTGGAACTATCTCAGGCTAGTTTTAGTTTCCATTCTCTTCCCATGAAATCAGCTTTCCTTTCCTCCCTATATTTTTCTCCACTAAGAACACAAATGTCACTTCTGAGTGGCTTCCTATTCTGTAATTATTTGAAGTAGATGTTTCAGTATGTAACCTTTCTGTTTTCTGTCTTCTTTTACAGGACTTTGTATCTTTGTTAAAGTCAGTGATGTGAAAAGACCTGACATGGGTAAGACTGACTATGAAGCAGTCCTTCTATCCTTTTAGTTACTCTTATTGGTTAAGCTGCAGAGAAAGAATGGGTTTTCCTAACATTTTCAGTATTTGCGTCTTTGTGCTTAGTAATAATTTTAAGGGAGATCTCATCCTAATAATGTATACCAAACACTTTTCTTTTAGTTGGGACATTGTTCATACTGTCGTTTGGAAGCATTTTCTCATTTATTGTATTGAGAAAGCTAAATACACACTAGCAAACGTTTACTATGTGCAAGGCTCTGTTCTAAATGCTTAAAATATATTAATTCATTTAATTTTTACAGCTGCCTTGCAAGGATACCTAATGGTACCTACAAGATAGGTACTATTATTATCCCCATTATATCAACAAGAAACTGAGACACAGAGGTTAAGAAACTTGGTTAGGGTCACACAACTATAAGTGGCAGCACTAGGATTTAAACTCAGGCAGCCTGGTTCCAGAGTCTTTGTTCTTTAGCACTATGTTATACTGCCTTCTATATGATAAATAATTTGATTAAGGTAAATTTTTAATTTCATTTAGCTAGTGGCATTGAGAATTAATTGTGAGTGGAACATTTTCCACTATTCATAGTACTTTATGTCTGTAAAGGGGATCGATATTAGGTCAGGACTAGTAGCCAATTTAGGAATAGGTTGAAAAATTTATACAGTTAGATTTTATGACATTCCATATACTCCTTTTAAATTCACATTAGTCTTCTCTCTACTTTCTGTTTTTTCCTTTTGCTTAGTCCACCTTCTCTCTCCCCTGGTTGGTTGTTTCCCTTTTCTCTTATTGCTGATGCCAGTGTAAGTCACTGAGTCCCCTTACTCTCATTCGTTCTTATTATAGTTCTTTTATAGTAACAAAGGTCTCAAAAATGGTTATAAAGTAAGGTTCTGCCACAGTATTATAGTAATTGAGCTGATATCTATTAAGAGCCGTAGGAATAAAATATGCTTTTTGCTGAAAAAAAAATTGCAGTTGGATTAATTTTTATAGCACCTTTTTGAGTTAAAACAGAAAATAAATCACTGCTAACAGTGTTTATGTCTGAATGGTGAAATTTTTTCCCCATTTTTTTGATATTTAAGATTTTTTCTGTAGTTAAAACATTCAAAAATTTCTTTTGGGAAAATTGCATTATTTTTATAACTTTGAATTAAGCTCTTTTTATACTTGTACAAGTTTTGAACTCTTTGGTAGATGATCTCAGTGAATGCCAAATGAGCCATTTTCTGCACATGGGTACCTTTTTTTTTTGACAATGACATTTTGAGATTTCTTGCCAGTGGTTAGTTATGAAGGAGAGGTTTTATTTGACTGTAGGGCTGTTCTTTGGGAATCATTTTTATTAGGTGAAAATATCAGTTCATAGAAAAGTAGTTATTGAAGAATTATGTGACTTGAACTAATCTAGACTCTTTCCCCAGATGATATTGCTGATAGGATGAGGATGGATGCTGGAGAAGTAACTTTAGTGAACCACAACTCCATATTCAAAACCCATCTCCTGTCACAAACAGATTTCCCAGAGGACCAGCTTTCACTGTCTGACCATCAGGTTAGGAATAATTTTCCTTCCCTTAATTAATAAATTATTTGGCTTAAATTTTTATCTGATGGAGTTTAAATGCCACACTCAAAAGTACAAGCATATATATAACCTTTCTAGAATCAATAATTTTTATGTTTGGAATTCTATTTGATATATTAAAGTTAGGACAAGAACCAGGCTGTGTATGTATTCTTTGAGAACTGTACCTTTTAGAAAACTCTTTACTATTCCTCTGAATATTACAATTACCTATACATGGATTAGTGTTCTTTTAAACTAGTGCATTAAATGGGGGGTGCAGGGGGAATATGTAAATATACAGTAGCTCTGAGATTTCTCTGTGCTATAAAGCTTAGTTTCTCAAAGGACCAGCTGCAGCAGCTTCATCTGCAAGCTTGTTAGAAATGCAAAATCTCAGGCTTTATCCCAGACCTACTGAATCAGAATCTAGTTTTTAAAAAATCTCCAGCTGATTTATATGCACCTTAAGGTTTGAGGAGCACTGTTAATAAAGCAGTCTTTCTCAGGAGGAAAGCCATTACTAATTTGGAGGAGACAGTTCTCTGCTGGTGAATCTGTCGCAACTATAGCAGAATGTTTAGCATCCTTGGCCCCTCGGCACTAAATGCCTGTAGCATCTGCTCCAAGTAATCGTTCTGATAACTGAATATATATCTACACATTTCCAAATTTGTACTGAGATGCAGCACTAACCCTGATTAAGAACTTAGTCTCTGTAAAGTTAGCAAAAGAATCAAAACCAGGTTGATTTTGTCAGCCTCTGATATATGATATAACTAGCTTTCAGAACAGGATATACTAAATGCATATTTGCCTTCAAATGAGCCTTCTTCGAATCAAGTTGTATAACAGATATTTTGCCCATTTTTCCCCTTGAAGCCTCGGTCTTTTCATCAGATTGTCTATGTGTTTTCCTTTCTTATTAGTATGTAGTTTTATTTATTTATAATATATATAAATATAAATATACCGAGTTCTGAAATATGTCATAATCTTGTTTAATGATACATTTTTCCTAGTATAAATTTTTATTCCATTTTATTGTCAAAAATATGATTTAAGAAAAGTCTTCTGCTTTGTTTAGATTTTACCTGACAGGCAAGGAAATTTGGACCGATCTTATACATGTTCTACAAGAAGTGCAGCTTATAATCCAAATTATTATTCAGGTATGACATACTACTTGGAGTCAAGGCAATTATACCTTCCAGATTTCTTCCTAGCAAATTGTTTGTTTACCATCTCTAAAAGTAAAAACATTATCAAAAGCAAAATGGTATTTACTCCACTAAAATATCATTTTAATAAGTTCTGTGTGTGTGTGTGTGTGTGTGTGTGTGGTTGCTATAATACTTTACTGATCTAGTCTCAACCAAATATTTTCTAATGGAAAGGTTTTTTTGAAATCCATTCTCCTACTTGTTCGTTATGTCATTGTAAAAAGCAATTTGTTTTTGGCTTTTTATTTGGATATGTGTATGTGATGTAAAGGATATTTGTTTTGTGTTGATTTAAAGCATAGAGCTAGCCTATTTCTATTCTGCTTGAAACTGAATCCTGAAAATTTATTTCTACCCAAGCTTGTCCCTCCATCAGGGCAGGAAATATTAACATGTTTGTATCTAGCACCTGCCACAGCCATGCTTGCATACTCAAGGGCTTGCCTATTCCACTTGTGATCCATGACAGGAGTCAGCATTCTCTAGGCTATTCCTAGCCCCGGCCTGCCTGACTTTTCATCTGCCCCCTTCCTAAGATTTAGATTTCCAGTGATCTTCTGCCTCTGTCTTGGGGAAAGGAAACAGAGTTTTTTGTTGGTTAGCCTCCTGGCAGTATGACCCAGGAAGATTATAGAGGTCTTCTCATGTCTTTTCACTCCTCATGCTTTAATCTCCTCCCCACAAATATGGGAATACTAGTAATACCATTGAATTTGCCCTAATGGGATTTTTTTTTTTTTT